GGATGTGTGGGCCAGGCGGGGGGGCTGCGGGAGGGGGGTTCCCTCGCGTTGTCAGGGGCCGTGCGGTGTCGTGCGCGTTCCAGGTGAGCTGTGCACAGGTTCTAGCTCGGCTGTTTTCCTCACTGGGTTTCTTGATGAGACTGTCGCTGTTGCTGAGTCAGCCAGCGAGAGGTGGGAGATTGATGCTGGTCTGAAGAGATGGTGTTGCAGGGGACTGCGCTGAGGTTAGTGAGAGCTGTGTGGCAAGCCTGAGGTTTTTAAGCAAATAGCCATGCAGTTGCGTAGGCAGAGTAATGCTCTAAAGCGTTAAAGACAAGCAGTCTGATTAGCATTTTACACGCTGGTTAAGTTTTTGAAGGGTTTGCAGTTGGTTTTGTTTGTATTTTGTTTGGATTCCCAGAATGGGTTGCTTTACTTAAAAGTCTCCTGTAAATTTATGATTGAAAACAAAGGCAAGCAGGAAATTGATAGGATTTATGAAGCATCCCTTCAAAATAATCGATTTTAAATCTAACAAAATGGTATTAATTAGGGACTTCAGCTTTATGTTTCATTTTATGTCATGCTAACTTCAAGCTACGAGTCCATGAAGCTACACAAGTACTTTAAACAGCATTACAAATATGAACCGATCATATGCAGTGAATATTTTTTTACAGCACTCAGTAATGCAGAATCAGTGTATGAAATCTTCATCAGTATTTTTTAGAAATGTCAGTTGTGTAGCAAAAACCCAGGCACTTCAAACAGGTTAAATAAGAACAAAGGCTTTAAAGAACCCTTTTAGATTAGGAGTTACTGCTACTCAGTTAAACCCAGGATCAGCACTCGGGTATCCAGTATTTAGTAGCAGCAGTTAATTACAGATCATTGCCTAATAACAGACATTATGGATAATTGCTTTCATGATAAAAATAATGCGTTTTCCCCTAATTGATTTATGTGAAGCCATTTAAAACCTACTAGTTTTGCTTAAAAATGTGAAAAATAATATATGTAGAAAGATTTTGAAAGCTTTCTACCTCCTGTAACATTTTGTTAATCACCTAGATACTAATTCCAACTGTAAAAAATTTAGGAATTGTATTACTAGTTTTAAGACTGTTAAGACTCGGTAGTAGTAAGTACTAATTCTGATTTTCCTGAAACCATGTGGTATCCAAAATTATGCACATTTTGATGGGATATTGCTGTACCTTTTCTGTGTTTTGCTTTGTTTCAAAATCTTTGGCATTAAAATATTCCTTTTATGAAATGTCTTATGTCTTACAGTTTTCCTAATTAAAGGATACCTTTCATTTACCTGAAGAAAAACTATACTGCTTTAGAACAGTTTTGCAAGTATATAAATTTACAAAACAGTATGTAGATTACATTGCACAGGGAAAAACAAAGGGTAATTTGTTTTAACAGGAGTGGATTTGTTGTGGAATTTTTAATTTTTTTTTTAAATTACTTCTTCGTAAGGAAGGCAGGCTTCTCTGATTTTCTCCATTTGTTCTGTGAGCTGTGAAAATTCTGCCACAACTTCACTATGGAAGGAAAAAAAAACAACTAGTGCTGTTTGTGCTCATATTACTGAGATTGTCCTTGGTAGGAAACCAAGATGATTCTGGTATCTTCAGAACTCTTAAGAACATAGATTTACCCTGTTACTTTCTCCATTGATTGGCGGCTTGATTTTTTTTATATATATATGTGCATATATATATATCCAAGCAAAAAAAAACATGCTAGAAAGATTTGACTTCTCAGAAGCCTGGCGAGTGGACTGTGACTTTTAAGGCACCATGAAGGCATGTTTTTAATCCATTTTGAAGTAATAGGATGTAAAGCCCTCAGTCCTCAATGGAAATGTTGACAGTGCTAGGTTTGTACATGCAAATTCTGAATTATAAGTTGTCTCTGTTGACCAGGCTGCTATTTAAAGGTCTTTTGGACTCTACGATATTGTTAAATAGTTAAGGTTACTCACAGAGTTTTATAAGCTGGTGATTTTGTGCAACGATGGAAGCAAAGTTCCAGTACCAATGTATTTGAGAGGAAATTTTATAGCATTTTATTTCTAGGCTGTAAAGCAGAAGTAAACATCCGTGATGAACTCATCTAAAGGTACAACACAGTGCAAACAGACTGCGATGTGGCTTTTGTAACTGAAGTATGCACAGAACATCCACATTGTCAGTTATGTGAAGGAGAGGTGTGAGAGCTCCCGTGAGTGCTTGTTGTCCGTTGAAAGCAAAGGGGATGATGAAATTAATCGTTAACCTAGGAATTTGTTATGGGTACAAGAGAACTGTCACAGGGTAGTATATGGGAGAAGGACATGTGTGCTTGAGATTAAGAAGGAACTGTTTTGAATGTGATTAACTCAAATCAATGTGGAATACTGAGCGGTAAGTAGAGAAGATACTGTCAGAGGAAGATAGTACTGAATTCTCATTGAGCATTACCAACAATGGTTAGTTGGTTAGTAATGGTTAGTAAAATAAAGTTAATAAATATTTTTTATAGGAAGAGTGAGTAGAAGTAAGTAACAGAATGTAGTGAGTGCTTGCTTACAATGGTGGTTTAAAAAAGCAGTTGGCATCAAAGTAGTATCAAAGTTGTGTGACAGGAAGGTACTAAGGCATTAAGAGGAAAATTGTGAGAGTGGTGGAGATAATAGTAAGACCTTGAAGAAACAAGAGAGATGTGTATTAAAAAATAAATAAATTGAGAGGGTAGGAACAGATGCTATTATATTGCAGAAGATTAGAAAGGAATGTTTTTCTGTCACAGACGAGAGTGGAAGGTCTTACGATTGTTAAAGGAATCACCGCCAAAGACAGTGAGGGTGATTTTTAATATAGATTTGCAAAAGTGCAGCTTAACAAAATTCCTTGCCAAGGTTCACTCTAGTATTTATTATGTGGAAGGGACATGTAAGGATTGGAAATGGACAGGAGTGATTTATACAGGGATTAAGGGAAATTATTGATACAGGGATAGAGGAGACTGAGTTGGGGACAGGCTGCAGTGATTTACGTAAGGTTCAGGGAAGAGAACGAGGAAGACCCTCCTATTGAGTCACAAGGTTCAGATTGGATTCCCTTGCTTTCTAAACTCTTTTTCAGAGAGGAGTCTAGATGCAGCTGAATCCACTCCTGGTCCCAAACTTGGCCAGTGGTCTACAACTAAGGGGTTTAAGTGTAGGGATTTCAGTGTGGTGCTTTAATCCATAATTATGGGTCTGGTGATTAGAAAAAGCAGTACATTAAGATTGTTTAACACTATTATGATGCATCACAAAATTAAATTATATTATTTTCTAGTAACTTCATACTCAATAAACCATTAGAATCAATACAGAGGTTTAAGTAAAAATCTAAAAAATTTTCTAAACTAAATTGTGCACAAATGCACACCACAGATACAGAGGTTAACCTGTTAAAATGTTAAGTTTGGGTTCCTAATTTCATGAAAGAATTTGCGTTCTTTCCCCCTGACTAACCCAATGGAGTCACATTGTACTAGCCCGATATAATTTGGTTTTCTGCTGTATCTCAGAGAATTGTCAGGATAGTTACTCCTTCAGTTGGATGAACCAGCTTCCTTCCTAAGACACATGTGATGTGGGCTGCAACTCAGTGTGATCCTGGAGAGCTCTGAAGAGCCTCCCTCTTAAGACCAATATTTATGGAAATCAAGAAGACTGACTTTTATCAGTACTTTTCCAGGATCATCATGATTTTGGTTAGGGCATCTTTGGCAACTTTGAGAGAGAGCCTGTATTCCAAGCAGAAGGGGTGTCAGGTATGTTCTGCAGACAGAGATACAGCTACAGTTAAGGAGTGCTGAAACACCCCAAATCGATGTATTTGCACGTAGGACAAAAAGGCACAAAGTCATCTAGACTCACTGCTTCAGTAGGCAAGGTCGGAAAGCACCAGGTTGTAGGCGTCAGCCTACTTCCATGGCACCTGCCATGGAAGCAAGAACAACATTAGGCCCATCACACCTGCAACCAAAGCAAGAACAATGTTGGCTGATGCTGATGTTGCAATGTGGTTGAGTAAACAGGGGGGTTTGCACCGCCAGTTTTACAGGGAGGGCTGAAATGTGAAGATACGGTTCCTTACTCATCTGTTGACTGTTTTTTGGTATTTTTTTCTGAGAGAGGGATTGCTGAAATGCAGCTGTAGAGCTTTATCTTTTTTTTTCCCCTGAATTTCGTACTTGCTTATATGAAACATTCTTCTGTTGCAGGTTTGCCAGCTGTAGAAAAACAGTCTTGAAAATGTTGTCCAGACTCTTCCGAATGCATGGCCTTTTTGTAGCCTCTCATCCATGGGAAGTCATTGTGGGAACAGTGACTCTCACCATTTGTATGATGTCGATGAAGATGTTCACTGGGAATGATAAGATCTGTGGCTGGAATTACGAGTGCCCCAAGCTTGAAGAAGTAAGGGTTTAAATTCACGTTATAGTACTTCCTTTTGATAAGTAGATCCAGAGTTTTCTTTAGAATAAGATCAGGTTGCATTGTATTAGGAGGAAAGTTAGCCACACAGAAACTTCTTTATTACCTTCTTTTCCCAATGTGGATTTTAAAGCTGTAGGCAAGCAGTGATGTACTACAGAAGGTATTCATTAAATCTAACTTTCAGTTTAACAGTATCTGCTGAACAAGGGTTTTGTATGACTATTGTTTGCAATATTTTCATTTTCTAATAAACATGAGCAGTGATACTTAGGAGAATTTTAGTGCAGCTTCACAATGGATTTTTTTATTACTGTACTTCAACAACAGTTTACTGCCTAATGTCACAGCTGAGTAAATTGTTCTTTATTTCAAACAGGATGTTCTGAGCAGTGACATCATCATCCTGACAATCACACGCTGTATAGCAATCCTTTATATATATTTCCAGTTTCAGAACCTAAGGCAGCTTGGCTCAAAATACATTTTAGGTACTGTATCTCATTTTTGTATTTGCGATGTGCATTTTAATTGTGGTTTTTAGTATAAATGTATAATATTCTGTACAGAACAGGGTTATTTTAATTATTTGCTAGATAGCATAATAAATATTCTGCATAGAGGAAAGGGCTTTTTTAAGTGAGATTATGTAGGATTATATAAATACTGGAAGTGTAGTTCATGGAATAACTATTCTGTGAAACACTTAAAAATATCGCACTGTTTAAGCCATTTTTTTTTTGCTGATAATGAGTGAGAAGATTTATAGCTTATGTTTCTGAGGAGTCTTTCTTTGACTGAAGTACAAGTTTCAGATTTAAATATCTGTATAAAAATTGCATCTACTTTGTAGTTTGTATCTCAACTGCTGTTAGTACAGTCTGAGATGAGAATTGTCATTTCATTTCTTCAGAGTTGATCTAAAAGTATAGTATTTCACTTTTCCTTTTCCTTTTTTTTTTTTTTTCCCTCCTAATATATATAAAACAAAAACTTCAAATTGTCTTTTTTTCCTAAAGGTATTGCTGGGCTCTTCACAATCTTCTCAAGTTTTGTTTTCAGCACAGTCGTAATTCACTTCTTGGATAAAGAACTGACAGGTTTAAAGTAAGTAGTGGATTGTTATTCTGGATTTCTTGCTTGAAAATTTTTTCCTGTAGAATAAACATTGAATTTTAACATACGGGTCTTTTTTTTTTTTTTTTTTTTTTCCCCAGTGAAGCTTTACCATTCTTCCTGCTTCTGATTGATCTGTCAAGAGCAAGCGCATTAGCGAAATTTGCACTCAGTTCCAACTCACAGGTCAGGGGGGCTGCGTTTTTTTGGGTTTTTTTCCTGTTTTGCAATGGAGCTTTTGAATTTAAGGTTAAACGATTAACATTATCCCATGGCAGGGGATTCAAACCAAGTAGTCTTTAATGCCTCTTCCAAGCCAAATTGTTCTATTCTGTGAATAATCCAGGTGGGGAGACAGGCAAGTGAATACCATATTGGTGATATATAAAAAGGATCAGATTTTATCTAGATTCTATGTTCTCTTGTCTTCAATCTAGATCAGTTTTCCATAACACTGTAAATAATAATAACAATAATAATAATAACACTTAAATTAGTGTGCATAATCATGAGAGTTAAGTTAATTGTATTTATGGGTACCTAATAGGTTCAGAAGTTTAAACCATCAATGCTTACAGCTCTGTTACAAAGGCTAGAGTTCCTAGACCAAAGTCTTCCCTAGAAGAGTCATTGGTAGATAAAAGATAATTTCTAGGGCTCAGGAACAGTGCATAAAGAAACATCTAATGTTACAATGCTGATACTGGAAAAAAGCATATTTCTAGACAAAATCTAACAAAAATAGCTTATGTGTAGAGAGAAACTTTCATGCTCTAATGCAATTAACATAGCACAACAGGAAGGATCAACAGAACATCTTACTTATCATACATTGTAATGTTTATTTCCTAATATTCAAAGTTCTGAAACAAAAACATATTTAGTGAAAAAAATTCACACATACAAATACTCTATATGGTAACTGAGTGTACTAATTGTGACAAAAATTTTAGTATTTTATATTAGAGTATGTTGCACAGTGTATTTGCAATATTATTATAGCATGTTGTATATTATGTTCTAACATTGTATAGATCACAGAATCTTAGTTGTTGGAAGGGACCTCAAAAGATCATCTAGTCCAACCCCCCTGCCAGAGCAGAGTCACCCAGAGCACATCACACAGGAACGTGTCCAGGCAGATTTTGAATGTCTCCAGAGAAGGAGACTCCACAACCTCTCTGGGCAGCCTGTTCCAGTGCTCTGTCACTCTCTCAGGAAAGAAGTTTTTTCTGATGTTTACCTGGAACCTCCTATGCTCCAGTTTGCATCCATGGCCCCTTGTCCTATCACTGGACATCACTGAAAAAAGCCTGGCTCCATCCTCCTGACACTCGCCCTTATTAACATATTTGTAAACATTGATGAGGTCGCCCCTCAGTCTCCTCCAGGCTAAGGAGACCCAGCTCCCTCAGCCTTTCCTCATAAGGCAGATGTTCCACTCCACCAGGACTCCCAGTTCCTGTTCTCCTACACTGCTCTCCAGCACGTCAGCCCCCAACCTGTACTGGTACATGGGGATGTTCTTCCCCAGATGCAAAACTCTACACTTGCACTTGTTGAATTTAATCAAGTTTCTCGCTGCCCAGCTCTCCAGCCTGTCCAGGTCTCCCTGAATGGCAGCACAGCCTTCTGGTGTGTCAGCCACTCCTCCCAGTTTAGTGTCATCAGCAAACTTGCTGAGGGCACACTCTGTTCCTTCATCCAGGTCATTGATGAAAATATTGATTTTTTTAGTTATTTTTTTAAAGTAATTTTCAAGAAAGTATTTAACAGAGAGGTATTTCCTACAGCTTCTCTCCTCTTTTCCCAAAACTAGCACTAAAAAAACCCAGAGTTTGCCATGCCTGGCTATTGGAGGAAATCCCTTTTCCCCCAAGGAAAAGTTTTAGTGTCTTGTACATCCTCTTCTGTCAGCTGAGTCTAGAAAGTTAAATAATAAAATAAAAACCTAATAAAAGTAAGGGTACACATACGTGGTTGCAAGACGTTTTGAAAACCGTTATGTAAGTGGCTTTTATTTTACATCCTAAAGTGCAGAAGTTCTCTTCTGAATGTACTTTAGCTATCTGTGCCCATCAGTGTTGTAGAAGCTTAGAATACTAACAAGCCAAAGATAGAGAAGTTAGTAGAAAATTAAATAATCTTCTTTACATAAAGATGTCAAAGTATAATAAATACTGGGAAATAAAGCAAACAATGTATTATAGTATTTAATTTTCAATTTATGTTTTATAAGGCCTTATCACAATAATACTATTCAACTTACTAGTCATGTTATGTATTACTCATTAGTTTTTTGTCTATTTTCTTTTCAGGATGAAGTAAGAGAAAATATTTCACGTGGAATGGCAATTTTAGGCCCTACATTTACACTGGATGCACTAGTGGAGTGTCTTGTGATCGGTGTTGGTACTATGTCAGGTGAGCAATACAGCCTAAGGGTCTAAATCCTTCCAGTTGAAGAAGAGTATTTGAAAGACTTTGGGATATTGAGAGTTTCAAATAATAGGTGTCATCCATGAAAGTGGACTGACTTAATGTATCATTATTTACCTTCCTAATTAGCCTATAGTATTCATTTCCTGCAGGTATGAAATAATATGAATATGTTGAAGAGAAGTTTGAAGCACAGAGAACAGCTTTCCTTGGGCATTTTGCAGTAGGAATGGACTTGTGTGCCACTGCTTCTATAAAATTAAGACAGTCATTCCTATTAATGTCATAGTAGCTGCTAAAATTTTATGTTGTGCACTCTTAAAAATGAGTTACGCTTTCAGTACATGCACACATATTCCTTATTCTTGCAAAAAAATTACTATTTCTAAAAATTAGTCCAGGTGAGAAAGGTTATTCTAATTCAATTAAAAATAGCCTGTATTTTACTGGTTTTTTCCCACCCCATAATTTTATTTTTATCAGTTCTGTGTGCAGTAGCAGTTGTGTTCCCTTAGAGAGAACAGTTACATGTAAGAAGCAAAGGATTTTCATGTGTACATAACTAATTTATTTGTAAAATAAATGAAAGTTACATACTGAGGACTAAAGCGAGTTTTTGTCTGCATATTTGATTTTTTTTCTGTTGGTTTTTGTGTGGGCTTGTTTTTTTTTTAAAGTATCTTGCATATGTCATGATTCTGTGATTTTGGTTCTGTGATACATTTGAGGCATCTTTCAAAGCACTTGCTTTTCTAATTGCTGTGGGCCTTTTCAGGGAATTCGGTGTTAATAAGCTGTTTCCTGTTTGCACCTAGGAAGAAGCACCTCATTTTGGTGTAACGTGGTTGATTGTTGGGGGTTTTTAAAATTATTTACACTGCTAACTCTTTCATCTTTTCTAAGACAGTTCTGTAATGTATTTGTGGCATAGTTAATTGACTTTTACTGGAAAGTGTAAGTGGGGTATATACTGTTTCTTACTGCCTGAACACTTAATTGGCCATCTTTCAGAAAGAATTTCAATACATAATGTTGGCTAATTGTTCTTTGCTTAGGTAAGTGAGGAGTTTCAAGCTTTCAATGTGTAGCTTTAAAATAGTGGTGAATTCTACTTACCTGTATTTACTCACAATTATTTTTTTTAAGTTTTCTGTAAATACCATACCATAAATATATATTGTGCTTAGAATAAGGTAATACACAATGACTAGGGCTTAACATGCTTGGTTTTAATTGATATGGACAGTTCCCTGTGTAATCTATAGTATCAGCTTAATGGTTTCCTTCTTGCTTCTGCAACACTTGAAGTATATGAAAGCCTATTGCATATTCAAATGTAAAATAGTCTTCTTTTTTTTATGTAGGTGTACGACAACTTGAAATTATGTGCTGCTTTGGCTGTATGTCTGTTCTTGCCAACTACTTTGTCTTCATGACCTTCTTTCCAGCTTGTGTGTCCTTGGTGTTGGAGGTAAGACCAACATGTTTGTCTTCCTTTCAAATGGCAGCTCAGCTGATAACAGTAATTAGTTAATACTGCAGTAAATGAGTAATGCTTAATAGTGTGAGTTCTGAATTTAAAGCAGAGTAAACAAATGTATTGCAATTTATTTGCTGTTCAGAGTTTTCTGCTATTTAAAGTCTAACACAGTCTAAACCGTAGATTGTAAGCTAACTCTTTTGTTGGTAACTTCTTAATGATAAAAAAATAGCTCGCTCATTGATTATTCTAATATGCAGTAAAGAGGACATGTTCTTTAATTTGTTATTTTTGCAGCTTTCGAGAGAGAGCCGTGAAGGGCGTCCTATATGGCAGCTTAGCCATTTTGCTCGTGTTCTGGAAGAAGAGGAAAATAAACCAAATCCTGTAACACAGAGGGTCAAAATTATTATGGTTTGTGTCTCTTTTTTACCTGTATTTATGAAATCAGTGAGGTGTCCTGATGGAACTAAAAGAGCTTTTGTTTTCTGTAAACTTGTATTCTGTATCCCATTAGTCTGGTTTACCATGGTGATTTTTAATACTGTCACCTGTACGTATACCTAAAGTCTTCCTGCATATGCCATTTTTGTGCCAGACACTTAAGGCTTTTTCATTTTTACAAATTCCCTCTCACCCCTGCAGTACGCTCTCCTTCCTTTGCTTATTTCTTGAGCAAGAGGAGAAACATGGTGGGACAGGATCAAAGCTATGAGTGTTACAGTAGGCCAAAAAGGGTGTTGATGAGAGGTGTGGAAAATCAGCCATTAGCTTTAGACTTTTGAGGCATGGGAAACAAACAGAAAACCCCAAACCAAAGAAAAGGAAGTGTTTCATCTGAGCAGGTTAGTTACCCAGTTACAGTTGGAAAAATAAAAATAGGTTTTTTTGTTTTGTGTCTTTAATACAGTCTCTAGGTTTGGTTCTTGTTCATGCCCACAGCCGTTGGATAGCAGAACCAGCTGCCCAAAACAATACTGTAGAAAATTCAATGGGATTGGATGAGAATGCACCAAAGAGGATTGAACCTAATGTTTCATTGTGGCAGTTCTACCTTTCTCGGTAAGCAGCTTCACCTAAGAGAAGGATGTTTCCATGATAGGGTGTATCTCCACTGCTGCCAAGCTATGGTCCTAGGATATGACACTTGTTAGCTGCAGATCTGACTGCTGCAGGATTTCTTTGAATCAGGGATTACATTTCCTAAGAAATACTTCAATACTAAGCTGCTTGTACAGTCTCCTGAATGTATCAGGAACACAATCAGGAGCCACGTGTCCTCTCTGCTTCAAAACACTGTCTTTTCCCACTTGCACTGACACCTTTCAGAGCACACTGCAAAATCAGTTTTCTGATTGCACTGGAATAATTATGCAGAGCTTCTAGCCATTCACACAAGTGCAAAAGTCATGGCACTGTTGTTTTTCCTTCAGCTCAGCTGAAGTTAGCAGCACCTTGGATCCGTATTACTTCTAAAAATTCAGAACTGTCAGTGTTAGGGTCTTTTTACCCTCTTAGAGCAGTTCAGCTTGCATTATAGTAGTCATTACTGGTAGAGAATAATAACTGAAACTTTGTACTTTATTATTGAAAGGTTGGTGTTAAATCAGTGTAATGTAGCCATTAGTCAATATTTTACAGTCATTTCTCTTACTGCTTTTTAGCTTAGATATAGTAACTAATGGCAGTCTGAAAATTCTTATGCTGTTAATAATACAAAAAAATTAGTTCTCATTATAAGCTAGCATAATTGAATGTCTGGGTAGGAGGTCTTTTTTGACTGGAATTTCTGTAACTGTATACATTATGATTAAACTATTTCCCTTTCTAACTCAAAGGGTTGTCAAAATGCTGTTACAAACAACAAATTGTATATACTATCTATTTACTTCTTGATTTGTCTGTTTTAGAATGGCCAGTATGGATATCGAACAAGTAATCACTCTTGGATTAGCCCTTCTCCTTGCTGTCAAATACATTTTCTTTGAGAAAGCAGAGACTGAATCCACACTCTCACTGAAGAATCCCATAACATCCCCAGTGATGGTCCAGAAGAAGGTCCCTGAGAATTGTTGCAGGAAACAATCAGGACTTCAGAAAAAAAGCCAGAAATCTAACACAGTAGAAGCAGCTTTGGTTCCCAAAGATGGAAATGGTAATATTTTAGTATTTTAAAGCCTGAACCTATTGCTGATTATTTGGAACAAATAGTGATATCTGTCTTGGCATGTTGTATTTTGAATAAAAACCTGTGACTCTTGTAAACCAAAGTTCATTTTAACTGTCTTTATGCAGACGAAGTCATAAAACCTGTTTTAGCGGAGTCATCAACCAAGGCTACATTTGTAGTTGGCAGTTGCAACCCCGTGGAAACATCTTCATTCCTTAATGGAAAAGAGGAAGAAATTGAGTTACCTAAAGAGCCACGCTCTATTGAGGAATGTGTTCGTATACTTGGAAATGCAGAGGTATGGAAAAATAACGTGGGGTTTTTTGTTGGTTTGGTTTTATTTTTAACATCTACTGCAACGTCTGATTTAAGAATTCTTAGTTCATTTTCCAGCTTTTAAATGGCCTTCTTAATCACAGTGACATTCTTTAGAAAATTATATGGCGCTAGTAGGGGCTCATAACAATTGGGAGTGGGTAGGTGGGATCACAATTAAAACAAAACTCTTCTCCAGTCAAGTCAGGGGTGGCAGAGGGTAGCAGCTTCATCATTCATAACATACAAGCTTCATCATGTATGTGTAGGAGTGGCTGAGTAAAGTTTTTTATCATATCCTGGCCTACTAGAAAACCTAACATTGACAGTTCGTTCCTCTAGATGTACAGTGATAATGTCAAAGTAAAGTTGCTACCTTTTTTCATTTGGAAACATTTCAAAGGATTTTCACCAAGACAACCTTTGTTTTCTCTCCCCACCATCTACGTTTCCAGAAAGGAGCAAAATTCCTAACTGATGCTGAGGTTATCAGCTTAGTTAATGCTAAGCATATTCCTGCATACAAATTGGAAACCCTGATGGAAACTCAGGAACGAGGCGTTTCCATTCGCAGACAGATGTTATCTAAGAAACTCCCTGAACCTTCATCTTTGCAGTATCTTCCTTACAGGAATTACAATTATTCTTTGGTAAGTCAGATGCAGACAAGCAAAACTCACTGCAAAATTATTTTACAAATATGAAATACATGCTTGAAATTCTTGACAATGAGCTTGGTCAAAACTGATGTAGAAGGAAAGAAAAAGGGAAACATAAGGCACTACCTTGTAATGCTCTTGATTTTTTAAAAACCTACAGATGTGAATAAAATTTGTAACTTACCCAATAAATATTTCTTATCAAAGCGTGCAGCTGCCCTGTTTCAGAAATCCACAGTTCTAGTGACACTCAGCCTCACTCAGCCTGAGTTCAGCTGAAAAATAATACTACCTTGAGCTAAAGTTTACTTGAAATTCATTTAACAGTATTAGGTTGTTTTTTTAAATAGTGTTTAAGACTTAGTAGGAGTCCATATGTCTGCCAAATACTAGGCTTGAATAGCTGTGGATAGCTGTAGTTGTTAATATTTTGAGGTGGGATTAGTGGTTCTATGGGTAAGGTGGTGGGTGTTTTCTTAAGATACCTTGTAGTCACAGTATGTAACATACTGTACTGTGACACTATGTAACATACATACTATGACATAGTATGTAACATACTGTACCACAGCACTCTATTGTAACTGTAACAATACGTTTTTTGTTATTTCTGTAAGGTTATGGGAGCTTGCTGTGAAAACGTGATTGGATACATGCCTATTCCTGTAGGCGTAGCAGGACCACTGTTTTTGGATAACAAAGAGTTTCAGGTGCCAATGGCAACAACAGAAGGATGTCTCGTAGCAAGCACAAACAGAGGATGCAGAGCAATATGTGTAAGTATTGTTTGAGGAGCTTGAAAAACTTTCTGTACTACAAAACATATGTGAGGTGATACAGGGCATGTTTCTGACTTCCTGAAAAACATAATTCCCTTTTAGTAGTCACACTTTTTCCCTTCTGCTTTGATTTTCAGCTTGGTGGAGGAGCAAGTAGCTGCATTCTGGCAGATGGGATGACCCGAGGACCTGTTGTAAGACTGCCCACTGCTTGCCAGGCTGCAGAAGTTAAAGCTTGGCTTGAAAGCCCTGAAGGCTTTAAAATAATGAAGGAAGCTTTTGACAGCACAAGTAGGTTAGTACAATGGCTATTCTAGCTTTATTTCCTGTTGTAAGTCTTATGTGAATGGTAGAAATCTCCTATTTGTGCTGTTTGGGGCTTCTGTTGACATACTGCAATACAGGAAGTAACATGCTCGTTTTGGCTGTCCCACGTAGTGTGAATCTTGGAGGACAGAAGTCACTCTTGTGATGTACCATGGCTAGTAATAAACATTTTCCAATTATAACTATTAAAAAGGTGTATCTTAGCAACATGTACATTTGCTTTGCATCATACTTAGCATAGAATCATAAAATGGTTTGGGTTGGACGGGACCTTAAAGATCATCTAGTTTCAATCCTCCAGTATGGGCAAGGACACCTCCCACTGGACCAGGTTGCTCCAAGCCCCATCCAACCTGGCCTTAAGCACTTCTAGGGAGTGGGCATCCACTGTTTTCCTGGGCAGTCTGTTCCATTGTCTCACCATTTAAAAATAAACATGAAAGCTTATTTAGTTACCTTTAGTTAGCTTTTACTAGTTACTGTGCAAAAAGTAATTCATAGTTTGGAATTTAGCTTTTCAGATGGCATTACTAATAATCAATTCCTTTATCCGTTTTGTTCTTACCAATTTTACAAGTATCAGTCAAGGACATACTTTTATTTTAGCCCGGATCAATTCATGTTGCTATTTAAATGCAGTATTGCCTGGTTTTGGTTTGACTTGTGGAGCTGGAACTGTTTTTGAGGATAGCATGGGTTTTATCTTTCTGTAAAATTGACACGAAAATCTCCAAAGGCCTCATTTTTAGTTTATACCTGGTAGATAGATTTTTTTTTAAAAAATTTTTTTTTTAGGGAATACAAATGAGTTAAATTTATGTTAGCACTTCAGGGTATTTTATTTCATGAATTCCAGGACAGAAAACATAAAAAGGCAGTGAACATTTTCACAGTGAACACTTGTAAAGGGAGGGGGGAGCACAGTGTAGTTAGCAGCACAATGTGCAATGATTTACCATCATTTTTGCCACTTAAAACTAATTTAATCATTCGCCTTGAGTACTGTAAGTAATAGTTAAATTTTCTTGCAGGTTTGCCCGCTTACAGAAACTTCTCATCAGTTTGGCTGGTCGTAACCTTTATATCCGTTTTCAGTCTGGAACAGGGGATGCAATGGGAATGAATATGATTTCAAAAGTAAGGACCAGTCCCCTTCACTGTTTTTAATAAATGTGTATTTATTTTAAAATAAATAAATTACACTCTACTAATTTCTGACTTCCTGGCATGTGAAGACAAACATAAGACATAATGATGTTTGTATTGCTATAAATTAAATAAATTTACACTTTGTTGAGTGTAAATAAGACTAGAAGGAGAATGATGAAAGAAAAAAAGTAACTATATTTTGTATTTTTAAAATTATTTAAATAAAGTATTCTTGATAATAGAGCTGTTAAGCTGGTAGCACTGTTGCCTTGGGCCAGAGCTTTTATCCAGTGCTAATTAATCTTTTACTGTATTTATCACTTCTTTGTAAACAAAGGATTAGGAATCTGGTGCGTGGCAGCAGAGAGATGTTTTCTAGTTTTGTTTTTGTTTGCTTTTTATGCAAACAGGTAGAAGAACCTGAGAAATGACCCATAGGTTGGTGGCATACCTTGTGCTGTTTCGGATTAGTACTGATTACCTATTCTATGTGGAATTTAAGTCTTACCAGAATCATAAATGGGTTTGGTCATAGACAGGTACTAAAATATAGCAGATCTTTTTTCTGATTTCCTACTGTTCTTTCTGCTGCATCCAGGATGAGTTCATTTCATGTCTGTAGTATTTGACTTGGTTCATATTGTACCTTAGTATAGTAAGCGTATGCCCATGCACATAGAATGTATTCAGAGTCCATATGTACTAGGAAGAACCAGTTACTCTCCATTAAAATTCCCAAAGTGGTTAAAAAAAAAAAAAAAAAAGATAGTGATAATTGGTTTGGCATTTGTTTGTTTTTTTCTGCTTCAGGTTCTGTCCTGAAATTAATGTTCTTTTCTTCAGCTGCAACTGGTGATCAAATTAGACTTGATTAAATCTTGCTGTTCCACTGTCTTTGAGTAGCTTGTTTTGCAGCCATCATAATGTACTATCTTTTTATCTATTTCTTTCTAACAGGGTACTGAAAAAGCACTGACAAGGTTGAATGAAGAGTTTCCTGATCTACAGGTCATAGCTATTAGTGGTAACTATTGTACAGACAAAAAACCTGCTGCTATAAACTGGATAGAAGGAAGAGGGAAATCCGTTGTCTGTGAAGCAGTCATTCCAGCCAAGGTTGTTAGAGAAGTAAGCACCTCCTTTCTTCTACTTGTTTATAAAAATGCATAAATTGTACATGACTGATCCAGTCAGTATAGTATAAATGGGCCATGTGATTTGGTATTACTGCACAGTGTTTATTTACAAATGTAGCACAGTGGTTTGTGTTTGAACTCTTCAGTTTAGCTCTGTATTCTGATGCAGAGCAAAACTGGGGAGTGTTCAGTGTTTGAAACAACTCAGGAGGAATATTGTTATCATGTCAAGGTGAATTAATGGGATATTTCTGCCAAGCTGATTTTGATTGTTCCATTCTGAAGATGAATGAGAATTTGAAAGGCAGAATGTAGCTAGTGAGATTTTCTTAAAGGCAAGCAAGTGCAAGTCCAAATCATTTGCACTGACATTTCCTTTGTTACTTGGACATGCAGCCTGCATTTGAAAAGGCTCCTTCTGAACAGAAGTAAAAGTAGGTATGTAGGACGTTGGTTGAGTCAAATTCTGCATAGAAACTATCAAGGGGCCAGGGCTTAATAACCATAAATAGAGTATTTTTACTCATGTCTGAGAATCTGTGTAGTAAAAGTCTACCACTTTGTCTAGGTATTGAAGACAACTACAGAAGATCTAGTTGAAGTGAATATAAACAAAAACTTGGTGGGTTCTGCGATGGCTGGTAGCATAGGTGGCTACAATGCACATGCAGCAAACATTGTCACAGCTATCTACATTGCCTGTGGTCAGGTAGGTTTGTTTTACACCAATTCAGGTTTTCTTCAGCTCAGTAATTCTTAATCACACTGAACATTTAGTTGACTGCTTTGTTTTTGTTTTGTTTCTCCTGCCTGATCTGAAGGATGCTGCGCAGAATGTGGGCAGCTCTAATTGCATCACTTTGATGGAGCGAACTGGTGCCACCAATGAAGACCTGTATATCAGCTGCACAATGCCTTCTATAGAAATAGGAACTGTTGGTGGGGGCACCAACTTGCTCCCACAGCAGGCCTGTTTGCAGGTACAAATCCAAAGTTTAAAGCAACTTAGCTTTTTAAATCAAAGCTCTCGTGCATGTTGCGTATGTTGTGTCTAAGCAAGGTTGTGGAAATTGGGCCTCTTGACCCTTAGTGGATTTAGCATAAAAATTTTAGAACTATAAATTTTTTTTTCATGCAGCTAGTTGTTAAAGCTTAAGATGTTTAATACAAAGCAAGACTTAAAGCTAGTTATTTTGCTATAATTTGGAAATACTTTCATACTAAACTTAGCATTAATTTACTTAGATTTCATAGCATAAGATTGCACATTTTTCTCTCCAGATGTTAGGGGTTCAAGGTGCAAGCCAAGATAACCCTGGTGAAAATGCCCGTCAGCTTGCTAAAATTGTTTGTGCTACAGTGATGGCAGGGGAACTGTCACTAATGGCAGCTCTTGCAGCTGGGCATCTAGTCAAAAGCCACATGATCCACAACAGGTAAGAAATCAAAAGTCTCTTACCTTTCTTTGCTGTGCCCTTTTTCAAAGTACACAAGGTTCATTAATAATGACACGAATAATTGCAACATAAATAGCAGTGTAGCATTTTAACTATCTAATGTAGTTATCTCTTTTTATTAGGTCAAAAATAAATCTACAAGATCTTCAAGGAACCTGTACTAAGAAAGCAGCTTGAATACTAAGAAGGCTTTGAAATTAAGAATTGTTCTGGCAACTGACTGGATGAACAGGAAAAAAAATAATCTGTCACGTTTAGAATGAAAATCACTTTCAATTGAATGATGTCTGTGTAAGATAAACGGGGACATCAGTGGACTTGTGTGAGCCTACTTATGCCTTTTACCTTTTGTGAAAGAAGTCAGATGTCTGGAACATGGCTTTGGAATTCTTACTCTTGTGCATCCTTTCCTAGAGGGTCAGTCTTGCTTTTTTACAGGTTGAGATTGTTTTGACTAGTAAGCTCCTGCTAACTACTGAAGAGTGATGTAATGTACTTTGTACATTGCAAAAAATATAGTTGATCTAAACTTGGCTTGAATGCACTGGTACTTGTAATTCTTATTTTCTGGTTAGACAAGCATGTTTTTTAAAAGTCACAGCAAGTCTAATAACTTTACATGAACTCCCAGTTTTAATTTTGTTTGCATGTAAAACTTAGGTCTTAGGCTATAAGACAATTTGATTGAATTGTACTTGTTTTATAGAAACTTCTGTCTATATATAGTTCTTAATATGCTGCTGCTTCAGCTAAGCAGCATTCAATGTTTTAACTCCACAATTTAGCTTACTCCTTTAGGGAAAACTTGTCACCTGTAAAACTCTGACCTATAAAATAATCTGTACAGAAATAGGGAAAAACAGTGTCTTCAGCTGTTTTTTTTTTATTTTATTCAGGTAGAAAAAAGATTCTGAAATATCTATATATTCTGTCTATATATAGTTCTTAATATGCTGCTGCTTCAGCTAAGCAGCATTCAATGTTTTAACTCCACAATTTAGCTTACTCCTTTAGGGAAAACTTGTCACCTGTAAAACTCTGACCTATAAAATAATCTGTACAGAAATAGGGAAAAACAGTGTCTTCAGCTGTTTTTTTTTTATTTTATTCAGGTAGAAAAAAGATTCTGAAACTGGTAACTCCTAAAGCAGTTCCATGTCAGGCAGGTTAGTAATTTAAGCAAATGCAGTATCTTAGACTTTTTTTTTGAGTGCATTCAAACAACAAGAGTCAAGAACAGATGTTTACACTTCTTTCAAAAGACGTCTCTTAAGGTACAGTGTGTTTGTATATTCCTAACTATTGCTTTAATTTTGTAAAGTGTTTCGCACTTATTCCGCAGGATTAGGTGTGTATCCACTGCTTAAGCTGAGAAAAAAAAATGGAGCCAGGAAATCACACTGTTTTTAACACTAGTTGTTTATGGTGGGTTTTTTTTATGCTTTAATTACTTACAAACTTTCTTTTTGATGGGGATTATTTATTTAAGAAGAAATTGCATTCTTTTTTCAATGAAAAGTACTAATTAGGGGATGCAGTGAAATGACATTGTTGCAACAGGCAGTTTTTGTATTAAAATACTGTATTTGGACCAGTGAAGCAGTCTCAGGTGTTCTTAATGTAATAGAGAAAACCAAGGTGTATTCCTGGTTTGACTCTTCTTTGGGGATATTGCTAAATGTGTCACCCTGCCTAGTTAATCACAGGAGGAAAAATGTTAATATGCTTGATGGGATTGCTTGGTTTGTTTTGAGGGTTCTTTGGGGGGAATCAGTGGATTGGACAGGGTTTCTTACAGGAATGCAAGAAGCATCCCTGAAAGGGTGACTAGCAGAGGTGCTCTTCTAATGTGCAAATTTGATATAAATCATGATGAGTTGTTCTGTAGTACATCAACACATTAATAATATTGTAATGAGCTCATAAATCTAATGTGCAAGCATGAAGGCATTACATGCTAGATATGTTATGACAGCATGTAAAGATCATTAACATTTATCTTCCTGCAGAATTGTTGCTAATAGCTATCATTCTATTTAAAGAAAATTAGATCTACTTTGTTTCTGTGTTCATTCAGTGATCTTATTTAAAGTGACACTGTTCTGGCAATAAATGGTGGTTCAGTGTTCATTTTGGTGGATTTAACTGACATTCTGTCTTGCAGAATTAACACTTTGTATTATTGCTAAATTGTGTACTTTTTGGTACAGAACGACTTTTTCAGTTTCAGTAAAATTATGGAACACATAGTGGCTTAATTGTGATATTTTAACCTTACTTCATGACTTACTGACATAACTTAGTAGGCAGCATAAAATAAGAGGGTTAAGGAAACTATGACTGTTGTACAGTACTAAACACAGTGGGGCTGTAGCACTGGAACTTCTCAGCCTTCTTTGCAGAAACCTGCACTCATTTATTCTCTTAGAATCTGAATTACAGTTTGCCCCAGTGGGAGAACGAATGCACTGCAGCATTAGTGATGCCTTCTGCTGGGGCCTAGTTGGGCATTTCTCATACCTTCCAGAAAAATGATAAATTACTTATGGTAGTGTCACATGTCCACCAAAATAAAAAATTTCAAAGGTGCTTTTTAATCTGTTAACTTGCTTCCTGAATTTTAAACACTGCTTTGCTTTCACCATAAAATTGTGATGTGATCAAAACACAGAGGACTGTATCATCTTGCAAGATGGGTTAAGCTGGAAGATTAAAAGAACCCATCAGGTACCACATCAGAAAGTGTTTGACATTGTTATCAGACTGCATCTTAATGACAAAGTGGTAAAGCTTTTAGTCAGTACTCCAGTACAGACCCTGGAAACTTGGCAAGATCATCCCCAGCCCTATGCTCCCTGCCATGGAGAGGTCTTGGTTGAGCCTATCATCAGAGTTAGAATGCAGTCTGCATTTGTTTTCAGTCTTCTCCGAACCACAGGTTTTTTTACCAGAAATGGAAGTTACCATTTCATGTGTGGTAGAATGTTGAGGGAATTGAGAGGCTCTTATTTCACACTGAAAATTTTCATAGAATCATTAAGGTTGGAAGGGACCTTAAAGATCATCAAGTTCCAACTCCCCTGCCATGAGCAGGGAACCCTACCACTAGACCAGGTTGCACAAAAACTCGTCCAGCCTGGCCTTAAAAACCTCCAGGGATGGAGCATCAACAGCTTCCCTGGGCAACCCATTCCACTTCCTCACCACCCTGATAGTGAAGAATTTCTTCCTAATATCTAACCTAAATCTCCCCTCTCATTTTAAAATCATTACCCCATGTCCTATCACTATCTTCTCTGATGAAAAGCCCCTTCACAGCTTTCCTGTAGGTCCCCTTCAAGTACTGGAAGGCCATTATAAGGTCTCCTCCGAGCCTTCTTTTCTCTAGGCTGAACAGCCCCAACTCTCAGCCTGTCTCCACAGCAGAGGTGCTCCAGCCCTTTGATCATCTTGGTGGCCCTTCTCTGGGCCCTCTCCAACAGGTCTATATCTTTCTTCTGCTGAGGCCACCAGACCTGTACACAATATTCCAGGTGGGGTCTGACCAGAGCAGAGGGGCAGAATCCCCTCCCTGGCCCTGCTGGCCACAGTTCTTTTGATGCAGCCCAGGATGTGTTTGGCTCTCTGGGCTCCAGCACACACTGGTCTCTCATGTTGAGCTTCTCATCTACTACCACCCTGAAGTCCTTCTCAGGGCTGCTCTCCAGCCATTCTCCCCACAGCCTGTATTTGTGCCTGGGGTTGTGCTAATCCAGGTGCAGGACCTTGTACTTGGCCTTGTTGAACTTCAGGAGGTTGGCACTGACCCATCTCTCCAGCCTGACAAGGTCCCTCTGGATGGCATATTTTTTTGTGTAGGAAGATCACTTCAGTACAAGAAACAGTTTTGTATGTTTGTTTTGAGTTTTTGACAAAAACCAAACTAGCTGTAATCAAGTTTCTAAACCTGCTGCAACTTCAATGCTATACTACAGTAATTGATACAGTTTTTCAAATATTTTAAAACATTCATGCCCAAGGTAGCTGTGATACCAAAAGCCTGTAGCAGATGCTGCCTTGGTGCTGAGGCAGGGGTGTGTCAACAGGGGCTGCAGCACAGGCGTGGCTGCGTGGACACACCAGGTCCCGAGGAGGAGCATGGCTGAGAGCCTGTCTGCTTCCTCAGAGCAGTGTTCAGGTGTCTCGGGGCTCTGGGTGTGTCTGTGCACAGCACTGGGCAATTTTCAGCCCTAGTGGGAACTCTGCTCTTAAGGTGAATACAGCTCTGAGAACAGCTGTGCTAGATGGTTGTTCCACTCCTTTCAGCTGCCTTTTGTGGTAGTGTAAGAGTTCTTACCAGCCACACAGTTTTTAAGCTACATTAACATCTCCACTTCTTGGGGCATAACTTAGACATTTTTGAGGTTGTTTGTCCTGTCACCCCTCTCCCTTTGGCTTTTGTTAGATAAGGTTTACACTGCACCATGACACCTGCTGAAACAAGGCGATGACGGTTTGGGCTTCAGGCAATGTCCTTGTAACAGTAACAGTTTGGCTCCTGGCAGAGGCATCTTGGCCATGCATGCGAGGCAATTACAGTGCTGCGCATCCACTGAAACACCTATCACTGATAACTCTGTACCTTGTCCTCCTACCTAGAAATTACTGCTGGCCCCAGGCTCACTTTTTTGTACCAGCAGCTGGGAGGTGGCCAGCCTGTGAAGCTAACCTTACCTTTATGGTGCTCTAGGGCTTATAAAGTCTGTTGGAAAAGACAAAATTGCCTAATGTCCCACCTTCACCACTGCTTTTATGTTCAGTCTGCTGCTTAATCTACTCAAGGGGTCACAAGGGGTTTCAGCTCCACCTTTCGTAGGTTCTTCCCCACTCATAGAACACAGCAATATTCCCACTAGGACTCAAGTGATCTAGAAAAATGTGTATGGGGTGATGTCAGTAGTGGCTCCAGACTCATGGTGGTCCAACAGGGGTGCTGGCGTGACTAGACGACTAACACTGCTTTGGGCATGTTGTGGTTTCTTGTCTCTCCGGGCTGGCTCACCATTAATGTCATGTTTTGAGCCCTACACAACAACAAAGGAATAGCCCCATGGCCTCTCACTCAACTCCCCCCCACACACACACTGTGGGATGAGGAGGACAAAGCTCATGGGTTGAGACAAAGCACAAGGAGGATCCTTCACCGATTAAGGTCCTGGGCAAAACAGACTCAACTTGAGGAAAAAAATAATAATTTAATTTCACACTAATCACACATATCCAGGACACAGACACACAAAGAGCAGAGCTTACATATGTTACCCCACCCCTCCCTTCTTCCCGGGCCCAAATCACTTTGTTCCCGGTTTCTCTCCCTCCTTCCCCCCAGCGGCACAGGGGGACAGGGGATGGGGTTTAGAGTCAGTTCACAGGCTGGTGGTTCCTGCTGCTCCTTCCTCCTCAGGAAGAAGGATTCCTTACAGTCCTTCCCTGCTTCCCCACGGGGTCCCTCCCATGGGAGAGAGTCCTCCACGAACCTCTCC